TGCCAGATATCACTTTCCGAAATATAATCAACCTTTTCCCGGGAAACCTCACCAGAAAATTGCGTCGTAATAATATTACAGGGTCGCTGTTTTCAATAACCTCGCCTTGCTTTTGTTGTGTAACTGCCAGCCCACCTAAAATCAACCCCAAGCTTGATTGATCGTGAATCGGGTCTCTTTTTACATCGCCGCCAAACTCTTACTCTCGCACTCACCCCTTTCTCTTTCGTTGGCTTCGCCAAACAAATGTTTTTTTTTTGTTTCAATGTTTTTATATGGGTTTATTTTATATCATTTATATTATAGTTTTAATATTCTGGAACGACTAAAACAGATTGCATGAATAAATTATTATAAATTATAAGACGAACAAATAATCAATTAAAACTTGTTTTGCTGTTTTTAAAATCCATGAAGAATCATGTTAATTTTTTGTGTATACGGATGTAAAGTGTTATTAAATGCTAATATTATAATAATTTTATAATGGTGGGTATAAAGCAAATTATTTTTATTTTGACAAAAAAGTTTTATTGAAAACATGATATGCAAAATACTCCCAATTCCCTTAATTATTAATTAGTTTTTACTAATTATTTCGGAAAATAATTTTTAATTTTAACCTTTTAAAAATAAAAAATAGATTAGTTATTAATTTTAGTTTTTAAAAGATCTAAATGCTGTTAGTCTATCTGTAATACATATATTATTAAATTATGTATGAAATACGCAACAGTGTAAATCATTTTTTCGATGCTGCGATTCATATCTGCAACTTAACTACCCAAAAAGGTTGGTATTTTAAATATAATATAATACTGATATTACTGCGAACTTCATTTCTATCAAGCATCAAGTATAGTCGTAACGTTGTATAAACGTCTCCGTGGCCATGGTAACGACAAGGGTTACTATATCGATCGGGTTGATAACGCCACACTGTCAGGGGTGTGTAAAATATATCAATATTTTATTGCGTTATTTTATATTTTTTAATAAATAAACAACATTCAATCTTTTGATTGATTACGAAAATCACTAAAAAATGAGATGTTCTACCGTTGGGTTATTGTTCCCATACATCATGATGTATTAGTTTTTTATCAACAACCACTAAATTCAACTAAAAAAAAAAAAATATATATAAATACAATTCGGGGAAAATATTGATGTAGAAATAATTCCTCTAGGTTTGACATGTGTTAGTGTAATGCATCACATCCAATAAAATATTACATACAATGCGAGGAAAAAAATAAGTAGTATGATTGTGAGTGGGGGGGGGGGGGGGGGTTCAAACACACTAGTCCATAGAGCCTAGTCCATGCGAGTCAATTTCGCTTCGTGCGCTGCCATTCCCCTACATGCCATGTCGTATCGTGCTGAGCCGTTTCGTGCCTTTCTCCAGCACGTAACCTATGTATTTTTTATCCCTTCTCGATCACTTATCACACCACCTAATTTAATTCCCCTTATAAAGAAAAAAAATGTTTTGAAAAATAAATTTTTCACTTAAAATTATTATCTGTAAAATAATTTTTAATATTTCATATTGCGTTATTTTTTACGAGTCTATAGTTGTATCATACGTACCTTCTCATACTAAGATATTATATAATTAACTACAGATTCTTATTTATAATAATATTTGATACTTTACACTATTTTTCTGAAACTCTACGATATTTGCTGGATTTTTAAATAAATAATTCCGAAAAAGAACGTGTAATAAAACTATTAGAAAACTCATAAATATTCAATTACGTCTACAATGAATATATATTGATATATATTTACAGTAGACGCCGCTTATAAGACTCACGGATATAAGGTTCAGTCGCCTATTAGACTCAAAATCGTCTGGAACGGTCCGGACGTATCCAAATACATTAAAAAAAAATCGGTTTTAAGACTCAACACTTCGGTCATAAGACTCAAATTTCGTAAAATAAATAGTAGAAAATAAACTTTTTTGGTAATAATTTAGAAATAAATTGGTTTTGAAAAATGAAATAATATTCGTGTTGATTATTTCTAGTTTCTGTTGGTACCTTATAACGTATAATAATTTTTATCGCAGATAAAAGTTCACATTTATCGTAACGATAATTATAACGATTATAATTTTAGTTTTTGTTATCGGAATTATTAAATTTATTCAATAATAAAGTATGTAATATGTAATATGTGTTAATGTATTAAAATCAAAGCAAAATATGTAGTAAAATAAAATTTATAAATACGTAATTAATTTTTTTTTTCCACTTCGCCTTTAAGATTCATTCGGTTATAAGACTCACTTTGTGCTGGTCTCAAAGTGAGTCTTATAAGCGGCGTCTACTGTATTAGTGATAAATACTTTATTTTTATAAAATGCTTGTTAAACGTTATAAAGAAATTTTACTGAGTTTTACTTTTCCCGTGCACAAACTTTTATTTTTTATTCTATCAAATATAAAACATCGTTCTACGAAGTATATATAACCTACTTTCACCCGGGAGAGCTCAACAGCTCGCTGCGTATTAATAGGGTAGCTATTTTCAAACCCCTCACCTCGCCGTCGTCGTACATCTGCCGGCCCAGCCAGAATCAACCTCGAGCTTGATCGATCGCGAGTCTCTTCCGCCGCCGCCGCAAACTCTCACTCTCGCACACGCCTCTTTTTCTTTTGTTGGCCTCGCAAAACAGACATTTTTCGTTTTCAACGTTTTCGTATGGATACATTTTGTATCATTTATTCCAAAATTTGTAGAGTTTATAACGTTCTGAAATGACTAAAACAGATTGCATGAATAAATTATATTATAAGTCATAAGATAAACAAGTAACCAACAAAAAATTTTTTTTCTGATTTAGAAATCCAAAGAGAGTCATGTCGATTTTTTGTGTAAACAGGTCCATTAATAATAATTGATAATATTGAAATTATTTTATAATTAAATTGTTTAAATAATTGTAATAACTAGGGCGTGGACTAAAAGCAAATTATTTTTATTTTAACAGAAAAGTTTTGTTGAAAACTATGTGTTTGCAAAAATTCCCGTTTTACTTTTATATTTTATTCATTATTTCTGATTATTTCGGAAAATGTTTTTAAAATATAAATATAATATTAAAAAATAAATATAGAAATATAGAAATAATAAAATAAATAGATGTATATTATTTATTTTGTTTTTCAAAATTATTTTTATTATATTTTTTATGTTTTTTTATCTTAGTATCAGACAAATGATGTAGTAGCTGCATTACATTGAAATGTAGTCGAATCTCTATAACTTGAATTCCTAGAAAAATAAAAATTAATTAATTTGAGTTATATACGAGTAGGTGAATTTTTTTTTTTAAATACGAACAAATTCATATTATATTTTCTTGTAAATTTAAACTTAAAAACGTACGTAAACAACGTAGTGAAGGCTAACATTTTTCCGTAATAAAAAAAGAATATTATTATTATTAAATATATATATAATATATATATATTGCTATTTGAAATATTGTTTTATATTTTATGACGTTTTTCGAGTTTTAGTAGGTATAAACAATTTATTATTAAACATATCTTTTGCCAATTTCACTTTATTGTCTTAGTTTTTGGATACAATTTCTGAAATAATTTATCAATTATTCATATTGTATTTACTAGAAAACGACTTTTCTACATTTTTTTTTTTTTTTTTGAATTGGCGAACCCTTCGATTTTAAAATGTTTTTTTATGTTGAGCTCAGAATATTCAAAAATACAGAAAGTGAGAAAGTAAAATTCAAGATGAACTTAAATGAGATCTCATTAATTTTATCAGTTAACTAAGTTTTCGTCAACGCAATCGGTAAAAAATTGTTACTACCTACATTATTAGTTTAGCGCACAACAGTGCGTCAATAACTTGTACGCGTAGGTGAGGAAGCGTCCACTTTCGAATAATAATTGAACCTTTTATCACTTATGGTAATTTTAATTTTAATACAATATATGCTTTCAAATATGTGCAATGCACGTATGTAGGTATTATAAAATTTTCTTAAAATTGCATGTACTCAGCTCCATAAAAATGATTGGTATTCAATACTCTGATTCACGATAATATCAAACTATAACTTTTCTTGAATGATAAAATTGTTATTTATAATTAAGTATACTAGAACAATTTTAATGAGCATTTTTTTAAATTTTGATGTTATTAGTTAAAATAGTTTTAGACACATGCAATTTTGATTTTTTTCAATATTTATAAAAAAAAAAATGTCTGCTCTGTCAAAAAAATTTGAAAATTTAATAACCGATTTTTCATAGATTGGTATTAATAAATTGTAATATACAATATTATAATAAGTGCAATATACAATATCGTAAACGTTAATAAAGTAAAATAATATACTTATGTAAGTGGAATGGTGTCATATTATGCTTATACATATATAAAATACACTACACAACCATTATATGATATTTAATGTTTATAGATTTTAATCATTAAACGAAGTGTATGGATTAGTAAACCTCTATTTCTATAGTATGCCATCTACCTACTATTATATTTATTAATTTCTAAAGAACATTACTAATGTCACTAAATAGCCAACAGAAACGAAAATACATAAATAAATGTATATTTACGTAACGTTAAATGTTGTATTTACGCGCGTGACATCGAGCTATACAGTACATTATTTTTTGAGTAAGAATATTCTATTACGAAGCACATAATTTTGTTGTAAAATAATTTTTAATATTTCATATTGTATTATTTTTCACAAGTCTATAGTCATTTCATACGTACCTTCTCATATTGAGATATCATATAATTAACTACAGATTATAATTTCTAATAATATTTGATACTATATTCTTTTTTTTCTGAGGCTCTACGACATCTGTTGAATTTTTGAAATAAATAATTGCAAAAAATAACGTGTAATAAAATTTTATTAGAAAATTTATAAATAATTATCGGTATGTATTTATTAATCATAAATACTTTATTTTCATGAAATACATATTATGTTAAACGCCATACAAAGACATTCCACTGAGTGTTATTTTCCCAGTATACAAATTTTCATTTTCTAGTCTGTTAAATTCCTGTGTTCGCTCTTCAAAGCATAACCTACTTTATCCTGGGAAAATTCAGCAGACTATTGCGTCGTAAAAATATTCCAGGGTCGCTGTTTACGAACTCCTCGCCTCGCCGTTGACGAGTACCCGCCGGCCAACCCAAAAATCAACCGCCGAGCTTGATCGATCGCGTATCGGATTTCCTCCACCGTCGCCGCCAAACTCTCACTCTCTACCCCTTTCTCTTTTGTTGGCCTCGCCGCGCCACGCCAACCCGTCGCGTTCGCCGCCCCGACCCCACGAGCACACCACTCCCGAGGTCGTTTTTTCAACCCGTCGTGGGCGAAAGTGTCATGTACATTTACGATCTCACCTGCGCACATCCATTGTGCTCCATTTGAGCCGAACAACACTGCGATATCCGCGCACGCGCCACGAGCTGAGAAAAGCCCGGACGTGGCCCGGGAATCGCACCCGACCGGGCATCACGGTTTCATCGTGACAGTCATTCAGACATTCGACGCCCGTTCGGAAGCACCTGCCCGTGTGATCCGTTCGACCGCACTCGAGTAGTACACTATATCTGTTTAGAAGTATTGTGTATTGCATAACAACCAGTAGAGCATCTACCTATAACGCTTCCGCAAAAACGGTGTAATACACACAGATCAGCCGCTTTGCGTTGCGCCTACGCCCCGAAAACCCGTCTGCAGTTAACAACGACCTACGCCTGCCCACCGCCATCGAACACGTAAGTAGAACATCCTCACGCCTTCGTTTGCATAACCGCATAAAAACCGTATAATCGCGGTATCGGTAATTCGAATATTTATCACATATATTAGTATTATTATTATTATTATTATTATCATCATCATTATTACGTAGTGTTGTCGAAAATCGAAGCGTTGGCGCGTGCGGTTAATAACCCGAGTCGGTTTTCCCACGCGACGCAGCGAACGGGAGACGAGTAGGGACCTACGTCAACAACAACAACAACAACAACAGCGATATATTAATAATAATAATAATAATTAATAGGTAACGACGACTGACGTCTGCCACCGCTGCCGTCGATAGCGTGGGATCCCGAGAGAGAGAGAGACGGTCACCGCGTTTTCTCCTCCGCCAACGCGAGTTGGATAACGGCCACTCCGGGACAGAGATCCGTTGAGCAACGTCCGCCGACCCGCCGTCCGGCCGCGATTACGCAACTTGCCCGCTCCGACCGCAGTCCCCACCGTCCAGACAGAGCTGCGATCATGTGCATGCCCGGCAACCACCGCGAATCGAAACTCATTACGCACGCAGAGCTCTTCGCATTGACGCCGGTGCAACCGCTGCCGCCGACACGACCGCCGTACCAGCGTTACCGCGCCGAGCCCAGACAACAGCAACTGATACTGCGGTCACCGGCCGCCGTCGCTCCACCGGAAGACGAAGCTCTGACCGTGGCCGGCGCGTCCAAGAAACAAGCGCCGAATAAGCCGCGTTGCACTTGCCACGCTTATTACGCGGCCCGAGCCATACAAATGGCCGAGAATCGACGGCGCGTGGCCACGGTCGTCGACATCCTGATGATCGCCCGCCTGTTCGTCGCGCTGGCCATCGTCATCCTGGCCACCCAGCTGATCGTAGAGGTCATGCACTGCGCCAACGCGTCCGGCGCCGAGATCGGTCAACAACACTCCGATTTCAAGAGACAGTTGCCGCCGATCGAGCAGGGCAACGCGGTGATCGACAGCATATTTCAGGTGAGCTCCGCGTGACGGATTATTCAAAAAAAAAAAAAAATATATATATATATATACGTAACTAGAAATAAGGGGGGGGGGGGGGTTGTCCGACCGACTGTGACGAGTAAGTGGCGAACTACGAGACGAACAAAAACTTGCGGTAAATTTATTGTTATTATTATTATTATTATTATTATTATTATTATTATTATTAACTAATTTACTTAGGGATTTCCTTCCGGTTGAATGTGTGATGTAGGTACAATTTGATTATTTGAAACCAATTAATTGCGAATTCGCCAATATCCGAACAGTTTTTACTTTATCACATCGCAAATTTTTGTTATTTCGATTTCGTGAGTAGTTTTATGCGTTTGACGCGTTCTCGTAGTCAAATCATTATGATCACACGATGTATACACATAATATAGAGTATAATATAATATATTCGTAGTTATGAAAAAGTGGAAATTAAGCCAATAATATTCTCGACTGACCGCTCTGGAACAATTGTTAACAATTGTTATCTCAAGCACTTTCAATAACCGTTGTGATAAAGAAAAAACCTAGTTTGTCGAACAACCATTGACCATATTATATAATTATCTAAAAACGTACAGTACGTGAAATATTATCATATAATTATTTTTATCATCGCATCGTTTTGTCGATCTATTAATAGTCGTGTTACTTAGAAACCACGACAATTGAACAGCAATAACTTACTTACTTTCCTTACACGAACCAATTGCTAGAAAAAATAAATGAATATCGTGCGGTTACGATTTTAATATTATTATGGTTATAGCAAGTTAACCACCCTAAGACAATTAATTCAATCTAACTTAACTCGAATCACCAAAACTAAGTCGATCATTTTTTTGATTCTGTAAGCTACTATCGTACACTTAGTGCCTTTTATGTATACTATAGTTGTAACCCGTAACTACTATTCTAAAACTCTCATGACCTTTCCGGGATCCAAAAAATAATATGTGTAGAAAATTATTAGTGCCAATTAGTTAAATACTGTGAGTTTACATTATATATGTCTTTTAGAAATAACTAGAATAATAATATCCGTAATAGACGACCTATCTATCGTTTCCGTTTTGCTTAAGTAGAAATTTTCGTTATTGTTTTTTGTCAAAATTGGTTAAGTATTTATTTTTTTAGTGTTTATATAATCTTTAACCGTACTACCACTAAAATAATTTAAAAGCTGTTTAAAAAATAAAAAAAATTAAATGACTTTAATTGTATAATATATATGACAATAGGTATTTTTATTGTAAAATACAATGAAGAAAATTACATCTAATCAATAGATAGTAATTATGTTACTATCTATAATTAATGGAAATCTTATAGGTACATGTATTAACAAAAAAATATTCTATTTTCGTGTGCTAAAAAAACATTCACGTATGAACCATTCTATAGAAATTTATATATAAGAAACCTAATAATATAACTTTTATTGAAAAAAAGTCCAGTAGTTTTTAAGTCAACAAAGAACAAATAAATAAACAAAGAGACATACTCGAATATAATAATAAACATTAAGCATATTACTTTGTATTATACATTTTACGTATACAGATCGTCATAAAAATGTCTACGCTCGTGAGTACACGATGCGACGACTCACACGAACCCGAACAAAATAATTTTAATTTGGTATCGAAAATACTATTATTTTATACAAAACTGTTTAAATTTACACAATTTTTGAACCCAATGATATAGAATTAAAATGTATTGTTTTGTATTGAAATACATTTAACAGCAGGGAATTTAGCACACCTGTAGTGTGAGTTTTCCTAACTAGTGTTTTATTTTTTATTTCAACTTTTAAACAGTTAAAATTCGAAAATGCTAGTAACTCGTTTAATAATTAAAATATCGTAAAAATACTAATGTATGCACACAAGTGTATAACACATTATCTCACTCAAATTTCAAAACTAAAAAAATAATATTAAATCTGCTAAACAACACAAATTTGCTTAATTTTGTGTTTTAAATGACAGCGACAACACGTCATGTGTAGACGTGATATTGTCATATCCTTGTAATTATTTAAATTTCAGACGATAGCAAACTCTTTTGCCATAATAGTTCATAAAATGTGTCCAATACTTTCTATTTTAAATTATTTTTTTGTTTTTTGTTTACGTTATAATAAATATTTACTAAAAGTTGTCGTAAACCAAAGAAACCATAGAAGGGTCGAATTTCAACAAAGATTTTTTTTTTTTTAAATACTTTGTTTAATGATATATTGAATATAGTTTAAAAATGTAGAGTACCATATGACTCAATAATGTTATTATGTTCTAATTAAAATTTTTAAACAATTTTTAACATAATGAAAAATTAACGACATAAATCCTTAAACTAATAATATGCTAAAATCGATAATGTGTGCCACAATAGTCTGGTATTATTTTTTTACATAATAAAGTAATCTCGTAATAACCGACAAAAGTTAAGACTTGGAAACATCAGAATTTAATTTATTGGAATGTTAAATTTTTTAAATCTATTTTTTTTTCAAATGCCATTAAAGTTGCCTAAGCTAAGCCCCTATAAACACCGATTGGTTATGATAGTACGTTCTCATATTATACTATCGATCGATATTCACACCGGTTATGATAATATATTTTTTTAGATTCCCATAAACACGCTTAACGCTGTTGGGTCGTTGATTAAGAACGTCCGGCCTCTGATGCGCAGGACCCGCGAACGCATCCAGCAGTATTACTACGGTACGGGCCAACAGCAGCAGCAACAATACTACAACCGTCCTCAGCGTGACACCAGCCACCAGCAGAGAAATTGCATTGATATAGACTTCAGCAAACTTGATGATGAGGCCATACTAAAGGAGATAGAAAAACAACCAAAAAAAATAGTGTATGTAAAAAAAAGTGACCCAAAGGAGCAGACGATTATTGTTGTTGATACTCCTCTAGAAGACTTCAATTAAAATCCTACTTATTCTTATAGTCCTTGCAATTCGTATAAGATGAAAAGTCTTGTTACGAATTTATTTTTAGAAATCCCGAATATTTTGGCGCAGTTCACTGACTTCCTACACAATTTATACTTTTTACTCTGAAAAATACAAATGCAGCATTTTATGGTTGGTAAAACCATCTGAATTTCATGTTATATCATGTTATCATCATCCCATTTAATGTGTACGTTTTTTTTCTTTCATGTTTAAAATGTAATACGTTGAGTTTTTGTTTTGTTTTGTTTTTTTTTTTTTTTTCACATAATACTTACTATCTTGGTATAAATACCAAAATAAAGTAGACCGTCTACAAGAACAATATACATTTTGTTTTTTCAACCCTGTGAAATTTACAAATTGATCACAATTCGCCAATTTAATACCCTAAATTGTATACAATTAAACGCATTTCATTTATCAATTAATTTTTAGTCAGATATTACTCATTGATTAGAAGTGTATAATTTAATTCAATTAATAAAATTAACAAGTATACTAGTATTTCTTTAGAGAATTATAGTATTTCTATGTAACCGAGTTTAGTATTTTTGTAGTTTATCAATGATAAAATATTAAAAAAAAAAAAAAAAATCTAGGCATATTATTAATAATATTATTGTTACATTTAGTATTAAGTATTACTAAGTAAACATATTAAAGTATCTTTAATTATGAAACTTTTAACATACTTGAATACAGATAAAAAATAAACACTTACACTATCCAGTTATTATAAACTTAAAATAATACAATCTTAATCAGTGGTTTAATTTTCTCATGTTCAAAATATAAATAGCGATTACCTATTAAGAAAAATATAAATTTTTTTTCTCGTTTGATATTTACAAAAAATAGCTATATTCGCCAATTTAACAATTGTGGTCTTAAAATAAAATGCGTTTTTTAAATTAATTTCTTATAAATAGGAATGAGGACTTCTAGTATGTATGTAGTTATACATATACTTCAGTATATATTATTATTACGCAGTGATTTATTATTTAATTGATATAAATGATATTACAATTTAAAATCTAAAAACATAGTTATAAACATAACACATTTAAAAGTTATAAAACTTAATTTGCATGTTACTACATAAATATTATGCTAGCTATTTAAAAATAAACGTTATATTTCAGAAACTAAATTAAATTAAAAAAACATTATTTATTAGATAATACCCAATAGTCGTCTATTGCTATAATTATTTATGTTATGTCCATAGTTTTAAAAACTATAGGATACATTTTTGAAGTTTACTCAACTTAATAAAATATCAATATTTATAAATCGTTAAAATATTATATTTAAATTTTATTCGATGTTTTTAAATGCACTTAAATATATTTAAATCATGATATTATATTTTTTAAAGAAAACAAAACTTTAAGAATACAATGCCAACATAACTATGGTCTACATTAGAGGTTCCCAAACTAACTTTTTATGGCACAATTCACTTTGGAAATTATTTAAATTTTGGTGACCCATCTGATGATCTTTTTTTTTTTAATTTATTTAATTCAAATTTAAATTATTTGAACTTGCTTCATTACCAATTTAACAGTAATTTCAATATTTCAATATGTTTATCAATCAATACATTTCTAAGAACATTAGCTGAACAAATATCTATCAGACAGCTCCAAACATAAAGGTCTCGTAAACGTCAATTTTAAAATTGCTCAGAACATAACAAATTTTGTAAAACAAATCTCCCAATTCATCAGTTTTTATTATCAAATTCTCATTTTATTCACTCATAGTAAGTTAATAAAATATTTAATGAACGTAGTTCTAATATTTCTTATCCAAATACTATAAAGATAAAAATGAATGAATATAAAACAATTAAAAAGAAAAAAAAATGTTGATCGCTTACTTTGTAAAACATAACCTAACTGTATTATTTTTTTTTTAGTTTTAGTCGTCATCATAAAACTTACAACAAAATAAAAGGAAATAAAATAAAAATTATAAAAGCAATGGCTACATTCCATAGTGAAAACTAATACATTTTATTAAACTCAAATATGTTGTACGCAGCATTACAGCACTAGCACTTATAGCACAAATAAAAAAAAAACCAAGTATGACACTTAGCCCCACATAAAAACACACTTGTTAATTAATTAAAATGTCAAAAATCTCTTAAAATCTATGTAAAATTATATGATTGATAATATAAACTAAAAACATTGAATTATAAACCTAAAAAAAGAAACCTAAAGAAATAAACCTAAAAAAGAAACTTAAAGAAATAAACCTAAAAAAGAAACTTAAGTCAATAAAAAGATAATAATAAGGTCGAAATAAAGACAAACAAAAATTAGATATAATTTTATTTGTGGCTGAAACTTACAACTTTTTTAAATGATAATTTAATCGTAGCTTCTTAAAATAAAATGTTGAGTGTTTTTATTGCACGTATGTGTGTAATAATAGTAGTCTAAATTTTATAGAAGTTAGAAATAGAATAAAAATTAATAATTATAATCATTAAATGATTAAAAACTTAAAAAATATATGTTTAAATAAAATATACATAACTAAGTAATAAGTAAAATAGCAAAGACATCTGAAATAATGATGGAGGGTAACATAAGCTACAGCTTAACTAAAAAGGAACGCTTTCTCATATCTAAAAGTTCTCAAACTTATTAGTCTTTTGGTTTTATTAATACCGCGGTATACACGTGTATACACGTGTATATACCTACACTTAAAATTAATAATTTTTGAAGTAAACTTAATGTAGACAATTCCCTGCTTTACGAAATCATGCATAATTAATAAAAATGTATTCTTCATGGATCAGCCAAACAGTTCTTTTTCAACAAAAACAATACTACGTGTAGGAAGTAACTATATGCCCGGCATAATACAATAAAAACAAACATTTTTATAAACCCCTCTATCACAAAATGTAAGTGGATGTCGATGCTCTAGATATGCGGCAGTAAAATTATAATGTGCTAGTACTTATGCAAATATAAAATCCTAGATACCTGTGCATCGGTGTGTACAATTTCAATTAGTCGTAGGCATTATGGAGATGCTAATGTATAACAAAAATATCATTAAAAAGTAGTTATAATTCAATTGCGAGATTATTAAATAAACATATTAGTTAGATAAAATTTTATGTAATTATATTGTAGCTAATAAGTAATAAACTATCTCTCAAATCTTAAACTTTCACGTAATCATGTTAAAAACCAAAAATAGTACCTAATTACTGTCATCCAGCAAAAATAATTTACAAATCAACAATCGTATTTAAAACAATACTTTCAATTGACTTTAACTGTTACACAATTTAAGTACATAAATAATTGTAGACTACCGCGGCCATTATAAAAAATACATATTTTTTTTTTTTTAAGCAATAAAACAAGCTATTGAATTTTGGAACAATAATATTATATATTTTTTTTTATCTTATTATTTTTGAATTTTCTAACGAGTTAACACGATAAACCGTAAAAACACACGTCTCAAATTTCATATTACTATTGTTACATGCTCATGGTTCATTATACCATACGGTTGGATTTTCCTATTTTTCTTTAAAAATAAATCATTTTTAAAACCTCTCGGTAGTTATTTGATGGGTATTGGTGAGTGCCTGAAACAAGCGGTAGAGCTTATATAGTTGTATATCACATCATGAAACATGGGTCTTCCATTGGCACGTAGTTGGGGAGGTTGCGTGCTAAATCTATATTTTCAAATTAGAATATTATTGTTAAATGTAACTCTATACACTCAAATTATCAAATTTCGAATTTAAATTCGTCTGTATTTTGTAAAATATTATACAAACGAAACCTTTCAACCAATTTTTATGATCAAAGTATCTTTTTACTACTTTGAACGAGCTCATTAAGTAAACAACAATGTTTCAATTATAATTGAATTTTTTTTTTTTACATATATGTATATATTATTTAAGTGATATACAGTGACTTTTTACCAAGATTTACACAATAATTTATTATTTTATATCCAATTCTTATTATGTATTAACAAACGATATGTTACCATTTACCTAAATATTATATAAATTACAACACAATGTGGCCGTGGCGTTGTTAAAATAAATACTATTATTATAATCAATGTTAATGTCACAATTATCATGTGCTTACAATTCAAAATTTAATTATATTACTGGTGAAGTATAATAACATTAAATTATAATTATTAATATATAAGTGTCTATGTGTTTGTTTGAAATATGATGTGTGTATGTTTTTTTTTTCTTTATGAACTCAATTCCTTACTTAAAACTTCCTATTTATTATAATTTTTATATTCCCTATATGGTATGTATATGGGCAATGTAAATATTTGTGGCATTCTATAAATTGCCCAGGCATTGTATAGAATTTGAAAATTATTCAAGAATTTTTTTTATTGTATGGGCATTTTGGTAGAATATTCGAAAATTTCAGTAGAATATCCGGGCCAATTTATCAAGATCAATATGAATATAAATAATATTTCTATAATATTATGTGTTTATTAAAATAGGTAACCATTATGAAACTAAATTACCAATGTAACTGCCTGATCTATTAAACAAGGTAATAAAGTTGTGAATTCAATCGATAAAAATTCTCATACTTTTGATTCACTTTCAATCATAAAGGTAATCAAGACAGAAAATTCACTGTCAAACTTTAGGTTAGATCTTAGATACCTACCTAATCAGTCAGTAAGTTACGTTGATGTTATACTCATGTATGGCATTTCGTTGTGTACTCGTTTAATCGTGTATTTAGTATCATCGAGTGTAATGCGTTTATTAATACAATCAATGTTTTAGATAAATTTGTTATATCGTTCAATTTAAATTTAATTTATTAAATATGGAAAATGTTAATTTCAATGAATTATTAATGAAAAAAAGGTTCAAATAATACACACTTAAGTAAATCAAAATATGACAATTTGATTTTACATATAAAGCCTAGATTGAGCATTTTATACATTATTAGGGTATTTTATAAAATATTCGATTTTCTGCATTTCTGTAAAAATTATAACAATAATATGTAATGTAACATAATATGTTATGAAAAAACATGTAAAACTAGATATTATATTCTAATTTCTATATAAATTAAGTATAATAATTTAAATTTAAAACAAGCCGTTCAAAAAGACTTAAAGAAAATTATGTGTTGAGTTCATAGTACATTAGTTCTATAGTTCATTACATCAAAGATACAGTAAGTACAATATTTTA